TTTAAAGCAGCACCAATCCAGATTTTTGGGTGCCTCAGGGCAGAAGTTCACAAACTGAGCATCACAGACTCATGGGACACACGATGGTTATATAAAGCTGTTGTGGCTAATGACATGCTAGCAAACAATGGACTATTAAGACACCAAGCAGATGAAAGCAGCATTTATTGGAGTCAGGTTTCTCAGCACTTACAAATTGAAAGTCTAGTATTCAATGTCCTTTTGTTGTTTTGTTTTGCCACCAACTCCTGTGAACAAAATCTGAGTGTTAAGATAGCCGTGTTTCAGATTCATCCATAGCTTGCTTTGCTTTCATGTTGTTGTTTTTTATGACGATGATGTTGTGAAGGTAGCATACAGTATGTTGGGCTGAATATCTTTAAAGCTACCAGCTTCTGATAGAAACAACACTGATGAGAAGTGTGAGTGTGAACCCAATGATTTAAGTTGCTGTACAACAATTGGCTGTAAAAGCAGATAAAAAAGCTGTAAGACCATTAAAACGCTCTGGATTATGTCGACTGCAGTCAGTTAATTATTTATAGTGGATTCAACACACTAAGTGACACCTAAAATAAAGACAAATCTGACTCATTGTTTATATAAAAAAATGCTTTTAATTTTTTTAATCATTTTTTTTATAAATAAATCAAGGACTAAAAAAAAAAAAAAGCTTGGACCTCTCAATGTGACAAATCAGTCTCTGGCTACTCATATGATTAATCTTGGGAGTAGATTTCAGATGCAGGGCCCGGGCACAAATAACAGCAGCTCGGGATGCTTCAGCAGCCTTCTAACAAAGCAGCTTAGATGTAATCTGGGCAGACTATTGAGAAGAGCAGCTACAACCTCAGCTAAGCCTATAGTCCCCCATATGGCATTTAAACGAGTACTGGCTGTAAACTTCTGGGCCTCCCTGACAGCAGCAATGATATTCAGTAAACACTGCAGCTGTGCAGATTGAAGTGGACGCTCTCCTGGAAGTGGGTACGATCTAATGTTTGATATCAACTCTGTGGTGAGCTGAGGCAGAGAGGCAAACATGAGGCCTGAGTTGAATTCCTGTTACTCAAAAGTCATTTTTCCTGTGGTCCTCATACTGTACATGTGACTCACAGAGCTGTGATTGTAGTCATTTCACATGCTTTCAGCCAGTGTGCACTTAGACCAAGACACTAAATTGCCACTTCGGAGCTTTACTTATATCCTCTGATGCTCTGCTAAATGTCGATGATGGAATGATTATGTAATAACAGCAGATTAAACTTGATCTGCTGATATGATGCTGATATGGCCAGTCATACAGTACCAGTTTATTCACTGGGATATTACTGCATGCAATGCACAAAAAAATGACACTGGCTTATATTGATTTGCAACCCATCTTCTTGTGGAATTACTTTGGCAGCCACAGCAGGAGGTGAAGTCTTGCAAACATGGTTTCCACAGTGAGCTAATATCTGAATTCAGTACTGGAAAACCTTTGCTCTCAAAACAGTAAGAACACAATTGGCAAAGAACAGGCCTTAAAGGGAAACTTCACCCGCAACAGTTTCCAGTGACGCAAAATCGTCATTTTGCGACACTGGAAGCTTCTTTTCAGACTCAGAAATACAAAGATTTCCCATCTCAGGGGAAAATGAGGGCGGGATGCACGACCATTCAAAAATACTACCAGGTTTCTAATGATACAAAGCGTAATGCAAATGGGTGAAGTATCTCTTTAAACACACAGCAAACCATTTAGGGAAAGACTTCTGAAATTGCAGTGTACACCTGCAAGGAAATCGAGCCCACAGTCGTATATTAAACAATGAGTGAAGCTCAACCTCACTTCATGGCCAAGGTCACATGTGAATTGGCCTCTCTTATCACAGCAGAGGCCTTGCATTACAATTAGCCTCAGTCTATTTCCAAGATCAGCCCCAGGCTCCAGGGATTCACGAGACATAGACTTCAATGGGAGCTTTTCATTAAGTAGAAAATGTCGACTCAGCCAGCAGCAAAAAAAAAACCACAAGCACAGAAAAGTGGAACCACAATAGAACATAGCCTGATCCCAGTATGTGACTGGTAAAACGTGTAAAAGAGACCTAAAGTAAATGACTGGAAGTACTGTTATGTATGCTGGTGAATGCTGGATACAATACAACACAACCTTACCCAAGAGGCAGTTTTATTTGCACAATTTCACAATTGATGCAAAATGATAAACACCCGTTCAACCATACACTCTAATGGACAAAGCCTGAGTGACATCACCCATGTTTTAGGGGGGCTCTGGAAGCTGATCGGCAGCCGCCATGCTGGAAATCCTGTCTCAGCCTTACTTGCAGTCGACCTAACGGACTGCTAAGAGCTGGAGCTGAGGCGGGTTGTGACAAACCGTTACATCGCGCCCGCCTGTCAATCATGTCCTCTACATGTCTAATCATGGATAACACGTATCGTTCATAAAATCTAAACAGAGTCGTTTTTGGAAAATTCACCCCCTGTACAGCGTGTGCCAGTGAGGACAAAAACTAATCAGAACTATTCCCTTTTTTGTACCAGGATGTAAACATGTTCATTTGTAAAACAGGCTTTTATTGAATGTTGTGTGAATGTGACTTCAGGGGCTCCTGGAGCCAGCTTATACACTCCTTGTAAATGTCTTACTGTAGGAATTAGCCTGCTTTTAAATGTATGCTGCTCCCACACATGTGGTCTCAGATGATCAAGGTCATGAGACAAAATATGAAAGGACGCTTTTTGCACCTTACAGATGGAGCCAGATTTCAAATACTCTCCGTCCTTGATAAGAAATTCAAGGGTTTTGGCGAGGCGAGTGCTTGAATGTGGTCGCACACAGCACAAGCCTTTAATCCAAATGGATCCCTGCTGGGATCCTGGGCTGGTCTGTTGATCAAACCTATGAGGAGTGGCAGGTAAACAGTCCTGCTGCTATTCCAGCATGCCTGGGCTGAATTAAATCTAAAAAAGCTCATTAATAGTGAAAATGTAGGACTGATAAAAGTATAAAAAGAGCAAAACAGATCAATCAAATCACTGTGGGTGTTAATGTGACAGAATAAGGCTGATTATAGAATTATATAAATAAACTTTGACTTGATTAACGAGCGAGTAAAAGAATTGTATATCAGCAGCCAAGCACACTTCAATCTTAATTCATCGCTGAATAGGCCACATATGTTGCTGTGACACAAAGCAGGCTGAGAGGCTATGATGAGGTATCATCCCAATCATCTGCTATTCAAACTCAAGTGAGGTCATCAGAGTCACACAGTGCCACTCACTGCGGCAATCAATGGAGCCAACTGCCATCAGGCACGGCCGGGACACATTAGACTTTAAATGGCAGTAAATAACACTAAATGCAGTGATTATAGTGCTAAATTCCTCTAATGCTGGAGGGCTTCCATCCCTGCAAGAGCTGAGGCATCATGCTGGCAGCAGGGAGGGAGGGAGGGAGGGAGCGGGGGAGTTCCTGACATGCTACGAGGATCAGCTTTTCTGACAGCCAACCCATGAAGTCCTGCAGTTAGACAGGTAGATCTGTGTTTTTGTTTTCTGGAAGGCACAAGGATACGTTTTGTCAACCACGCATCTTGTTCTTTAAAGATTTTCTCCACCCTGGTGTTCACTGTTCAGGTTGTCTGTGAATCCAGAAGGTGAGAGACCTCTCACGAGTTGAAGAAAGTAGGTGACTCTCAGAGCAGACGTGATTAAGAAAAAGACCTAAATCCCTCTGCGGCGTGACGTCAAACCTCTCAAACCCCCAAAGTCGGTGCCTTCAGGGAACAACGGGATTCATCAGCCAAGCAGCATTCACACAGTGATTGATTTAACTTCCCACTGAACCTGATCCTCTAATAGTAATGGGTTTACAGTCTAAACAAAACAGAACCACCAAAATTAAATAAAAAAAAATCCATGTTAATAAAAGTAGTAAAATATTAAACCATATTTCTCCATCTTAAAGTCAACTTAACAATCAGTTGCATGAACTTGCTTCCTTGCTTCAGTCAAATTCCTCATGCTGAGCCGTTAATGTTTATGAGAGCAGCAGCAGGCCAGACGACAATCACGTTTGACCCACATTTTGCCAGTTCTCAAATTTCCTCCAACGCTCCACTGTTCTTCTACTCGAGCCGTTATTCATCAACTGGGGAGCTGATTTGTAGTGGAAGCTCTCTTAACCAGTGAAGAGTTACTCACAACCACAGCAGGCCACAACAATGAACTAGACAACAGAAGAACAGTAACAAACTTCTGTCAAATAATCACCAAAACACTTTTCCTTCATCATTCAATATGGCATTAGAGTGCCAATCCTTCCGTACACATACTTTCTTTTAAACTCAATTTAATGACCTGAAGGATCTTTCAACAACACCAGAGGGAATGTGCAGCATTACCTCCCAGGTAACATAATTGCAGACAGACACTGTTGACACTTTATGATGTGACAGATGTTTTGAAGGACCTGGCATGCTGGGCATTTAGAGTTTCTGTAGAAGCAAGTCCACGTCTGGACTCATAAAGTGTGTGTGTGGGGGGGGGGGGAGAGCATGCCATAAAAGCAATAATTTGACTACAGGTGTCTCATATGAATGGAGTTGGAATTTTACAGAAGCATAGCTGTTCATTTATTAACTTTTATTCGGAGTTAAAAGAAGCTAGGAATTTGATGTTGTGTGTATTTCAGTGACTGCTGGATATTTTAAAAGCAGTAGTCTACAACCTACAAAGAACTGAGGTGCTGTCTAATCTCTCAAGTAGTTTATGGTAGCAATGCAACAGATGCTTATCTTTTGCACTCTTGTCAGAATTCCCCCTTCTTTTTTTTTTCCTCCTGAACAACAAAGAGCAGGCAAGGCGTGCTGGACAAACAGGGGTCCAACCTAACACACAGCTGTCCCGTCTCAGGACACTGAAGCATGGTGAGGAAACAAAGAAGACACACACACATGAAAAACACTTCTTTCTTTTTTTCTTACCAAAACGGTTGCAAATCTCTCCTCCAGTTCACCTGGTTCGGGCATTGGCAGCTTCAGAGGCATGTTGTGTCCTCTGAAATCAGGGTGCTGGTCCATACTCCCTGCGTTCCCCATGTTTTCCTCTTTCACCAACAAGTACAACTTTTTTCTCCCTCTTTTTTCTTCTTATCCCTCTTCTTCTTCTTCCACTTGTGGAAAACGGCGTAAAAGAGGAAATATATCCTTGCGTTCTTTGGTTGTTTTTTTTTTTTTGCTTCTCTCCTTAGAGGTTTCTTCTTGTGGTTACTTCAACATTGAGCACATGTGAGGGAGGAAGGTTGATAATGCGACGGGTCCGAGCGGAGCAGCAGGAGTGGAGCCCCTTGTGAGGCATTTTCATGGCAGGAGAAAGAGCTGAAAACTTGTCTGTATCCACACGGACCTTTTCCTGCGCTGTTATCCGTATCTTGCACAATTTCGGCTCCACTCCCAGTCGGTAGTAATGACGACGAGCATGATTCACCCGCACCGCAATCTCCCCTCGTCCGCCTGTGGGTATACTGTGAGTGGAGCAGGCTTCACTAATCCCTCCGCTAGCTGCTGACCAGCTAGTTAAAGGAGGAGGAGGAGGAGGGGGTCCAAACACACACACTAACACACACTAACAGCACACACACCGCGGCTGCACACACTATCATCCCTCCCTACAATGAGTCCTTTGAGTGGGAAGCCTCCCACTCTTCTTCTTCTTCTTCTTCTTCTTCGTCTTCTTGTCGGGGTGTAGCACCCAAAGCTGTAGCCAAGGAGATGATATTTTGTGAGTTGCATTGTGGTACTTTGAGTTCACCGTGAGAGGCAACAAACTTGGTTCCATGCCCCCCCACCCCACCAAATGCTATTTAGACGACCCCTTCATGAGGGGTATAGGCTGTATTTCTGTTCAGGTTTTATTTGTCCAAGTGCAACCAAATGCTTGATCCAATACTTGTAATTGACATTAACACATTTTTAGAGTTATCTCTTAATAATGAAACTCACAAGTTTGTTAGATGATTTGTCAATTATTCACCCAGCTAAGTCTATGATTAATACATGTGACAAATCAAAGTGTCTCCTGTGAGAGAGTTATGACTAATAGCCTATGATCCTTCTCAACATTGTGAAAAAGGTTTATGTCGCTCTGCAGCTGAAAAAACACTCACACGAGTTGTGATCACATGTTTGAGGTCAGCTAGACTCACTATCATATTATACAATCTTTCATAAACTAAAGCTGATGACTGTCTAAACCAGCAGCTCTAGTGAGTGCTTCACCACTGTGGATCAACTGGACTCTATATAAAGGTCACAGCAGATATTTGGACAAGTATTAGCTATCTATTTTTTCAGTATTTTCCAACATTTTCAATATACTGCAACTAGCACACCTGAATGTAACAAGTTTATATAACCATAATAAAGTGCCTGTTTTAAAAAAAAGTGTATTATACTGCATCTTGTAACCAGCCTGCTATTGTAAATGACCTCACACACGTTGTAAAACAGAGAGATTAACATTAGTTGGAGTATATTACCCAAAGCAAAGAATCATTATCATCATGATATTGAACTTAAGACCTCAACTTTGAAGGTAACAATATGAGTCTTAAGATTATTTTCATTTCATTTCATCTCTTATTCTTATCCGTCACAATAAAAAAAAGTTACATTAAACTGATTAAAGTGTGAGCGTAACTGCATTAATAATCTTTGTTTTTATTTATTACTTGAGGGGCGTCCATGAGAGGTTTTTTTAAATGATCTGTTGTTTGTCTTTGCTATAATAAAATACATTTCTTTGAAAATACAGCCTGGTAGCATGTCACATTATATTTTGATGCTTCTGATGTGTTTAACTTTTTCTGTGTCCTATTCTTTTCTTTAACATTTATTTTCAGAAACAGACAGGTTTTTTTTGTCCAGTGTAAATCTGATTTGAAATCATCCCTGAGTGAGAGTGAGGGGCCTTTATTGTTTTCCAAAAAGGAAACATTCCATTTATCTGTTTTAGTTTCAGTTTTGCATGCTTGCTGTAGTGTCGCGTGGTTATTCTTACAGCACTGAAATGTAACAGCCACCATCAATGTAAGGTCTGTATATTTCCTGACTTTGACTTTTAAAAATGTCTGTTGTCAATTGATCAAAGTGATCCGAAACCACTGCACAGTCCCTCAAGTACATTTGTTCATTTGTGTCCAGATTTTTTGAATCTACATTTTTATGAGACCACAGTCACTGACATGTTTATTCCCACTTAAAATCCCAACAAGCATTGGGCTGAAATCTGATCTGCTGACAGGGTGGAGACTACATTACGCACAACAGGGTGACATCAGCATGCAGCGCTCTGGAGACCATCCAGAGGTTCTCCAGATGCACAGTGCTTTCATTCAGGATGCTGGACCCATTCAACAGGGAGGGCGTCACAACGGAGGTTGCTGGCTGGACACACTAAGGATGCTAAACACAGCTGACTGACCTCGTGATCATTATGTGAAGCGAGTTCTTCTCTTTCTGCAGGCCTTGTTGTGAACTGTGTGTACAGCATATACAGCATGTTAATGTACTTTTCTGGATTTGTTTACTTTGGAGGAAGCTGCTCTGGTGTACTTCCTCAATGATAAGAAATCAAGCAGGCTGCTATACGGTGAGGGAAGGAGCTTAAACCAGAATGTAGTTGAACAAATACAAAATCATAATGGACGAGGGTTGTAGTTGAAAAAATAAATAAATGATGGTTTAAAACTGTATGAGTTTGAATAAATTTATCCAGCATTTTAGCAATCATGAAAATCAGTGTAATCATAGGAACTGATACAAAAATAATCATTAACAATATATAATTTATTTAAGAATGTTTATGATATATATCCATAGGCCGGAATTTGCTATATAGTTCATTTAAATCTGTCTAAATGAGCTATATATAACCCCCAATCCTTCCCATTGTTATGTTTTTATACTGAAATATTAGAATATTAGAACAATATTTGATTTGTTATGTAATTTAACACAAATCAATCCAGGTCCACGCATCACAAACTAAAACATCATTGTGGATTAATGACTGTCTTCAAGACTGGGTTTGAGATCATGTTTTAAACCATAACCAACCTGAAAGCCATATTTTATCACTCAAACTCATGAAAGTTAGAAATGCTACTGAGATTTAAAATAACAAAACAAAAAAATGAACCGACCAGGTAAACCGGGTCCTTTTGGTCCCTATAGTTGTCTAAGGGCTAAGAGCTATTGCCTGTCTGTTAATGTAGACTAGTGAAGGAGGGCCAATGTTTGTTCAGGGATTATCAGTCCTTATAAGTCTTTCTTTATTATACAGAAGCCCATGTTTAGATTTTTTCATTTGAACAGAACCTGTACTACACATTTGTTTCCTGTATGACTTTTTATTTGAATTCTGCATACATGTAATTTTTAATTTGGGCTCAATAAATCAGCTGTTCTCTTGTCACAATAACAAACAAATGGACCCCCCTCTCCACAGCCAGCAGAGCACTGCAAGGCACACGATGGACAGTGAATGAGATTTCTAACAATACCAATAATAAAACGTTTCTCTCCATTAACTGCAGGCACAATCGTGACTAGTTGCCTTACAGGCGTCATGGTGACTCACTCCACAGCAACATCAAGTTGTGATGTCACAGTTAATGTCTGTGTGTTTCTATTTTCAGGAGGATAAAAACTCATCAAATCCTTCCAGAGGCTAAAATGCATATGCAAATAAATCATGTCTTAACTATTCTCTTTTGAATTAGTAAAACACAGCAGCTCTGCATTCGACCATAAAACACCATTGAGTCTTCTGAGAGTCTGTGCATTAGAGTGCACTTGGAGTTGAGAGTGTATTGAAAGGGGGGGGGGGGCACCTTGCAGCTGCTTCTGCATGAGAGGTCTGGGGAAAAATATATGAGGCTTCAGATATCTCCACGAGGAAATATAAAAATGCAAAGGAGATGCCAAAAATAAAAGCAGCACAATCACAGCACTGTGAGGAGGCTCGCAGGGAGTTCGATTGGCTGCACTGTTTAGTAACATCTGTGAAATCAAGTTCTCTTAAATAAGAGAGGACTTACGGAGTTATGTCCTTTACAAGACTGGAGCGGCGCAACAAACGTGTCTTTGTATCTGAATTTAAGGGCCAGAGACTTCAGTGGTTCTTCAGTGAAACTCGAAATCTTTAAACAACAATGCCCTCTAATGTAGCCAGAGTGAATTACCCTCTCCAGATTTGATTTACTAGATTCTCATTCTCTTATTTTAGCTTTTCAGGTCATTTCCACAGTTCAGTGGTATAATTATTGGCTTAACCAATGACTGAAATTTCCATTAAATTTATGAGTGACAATATTTATTTGCACTTGTAAAATGAGAGATAAAACCTGTGCCCAACACTTTTCAATGGTTGTAGTCCAACAATTAAACTAGGTTTCAGCTCCACACAAATTGTATTCATTATTCCATTCAAGAGGCTGAGTATCAAACTAAATTTATTGGAATTTTGTAACATAGGGACAAGAATAATGTACACATTAAAACTAAGTGGAATTTGTATCTTTCAATTCGGTCAAACGTCCATTTCAAAATGAAGGTGGACAATCTTAAAAATCAAGATTTCTACCAACACTAGAGGCGAATCAAGTATGCGATGATACTGTTAGTATGGATTTTGGAAAAATGTATTTGAAATCAGAACCAGGTAAAACTTATATTTCACTGAATGAAATATATTATAACCTTGGATGACACTTGCAAATTTCCAGACAGGTCATGTTTCCTTTTTCTTCCTGAAGGCCATGAAACGCCTTCTTAACATAAGTACAGCTGTTCTGTAGCTGTGTAACAGTTAGTTACAGTTAAGTCATAGTAAGCCATTAGCTATATATATATATATATAAAAACCCTTTTATAAAAGAACACTACTCTTGTAGCTTTTTGGTCCAGAAACATTACTGTACTTTATTTACCGTTCCGTCAAGTCTGCGATGAGAATGACAGCATCGGGGTAAACCATCTTCATGGATCTTACTCCCATCAAGGACACATTATTTCTGAGCCAATGTTGGGAAAAGAAAATCGGGCATGGATACATCAAATTCTCTTTAATATTTCTTAGAAAAAAAAGAAGACTACTAAAAGTTTGTTACATGAGAAAATGTCATAACATCCATCTATTCAGAGGGCCCACAGTCTGCCATCCAGCAGCACCCCTCAGAAATCTTCATCAAGTACATTAATTAAAAACAGTCGAGAGTAACCTGAATTTGAATGTTTACAACAATATGGAAAACTTTAACAAAAAGCAAAATGTTTTGGCATGTAGTTCAGCTTATGGTTTATGAGACATGCAGGAGGTCATCTCAACATCAAAAGACAAGGAGGGTTTTTTCCATTAGGAGCCATATCTGATCTGAGACGTGTCCCTGCCTTGGACAATTTCAAATCATGCATTTGTGTGAATAAACATGTTTAAAAAAAAAAAGAAAAGAAATTACCCTGCATCTCAAAGTTAGGCTTTGGTCCCTAATGAAAATCCTCTACCTTCTTGTTGTGAACAGCCTGACATTTAGCCAAGCAAAGTATGTGTGTGGGTGTTGGGGGGAGGGGAGGGTAAAAACAGAATTAAACAAATACAACATGAAAATAATAATGTGATTCTTCCAAGAGTAGAGTCCACATCGCATTTAAGAACAGACTCCCCCTGTCTGTTGTTGAAATACATCAATAGTGTCCTCATCCTCCATCTCCAGCTGTGGAAACACAAAGATCTCATCAGACATTTAGGAACTTCGTATTTATTTCTACAACAACAAATGCAAGTTATTTAGTCAGTAATGAGAAGCAGGGTGTCAACCCCTCAACAGTTTTTGGTATAGACAACATTGAGCATCAGAATGTTTATTAATCTTTGGTTTGAATCTACAGTTTAAGACAAACGTATTTAGCTAATGTGTGGGATGTCTTTACAGTTTTTTTTTACCAGTTTTTTTGCTTCTGGTATTAAAGCACTTTTTGTTGTGTTTTCTTCCGACATAAAAAAGAGGAATGTGCATGTTCTGTTACATGTTGAATTTGATATACCAGACCTCAGGTATGATGACATTTTATAACATGACAGTGTGATGACAGAATAGATGTTCAGGTGATCTATACTTGTCCTCTGATGCTTCATCCATTTCTGCTCTAAATGTAACCATGCATGTTCAATTGTGATATATTTGACTAGACTACTTGTGCATTAAGTACAATTTATGCTTACCTGTGCAGGTGTGTCTGTTTCATTAATTGGCTGTCCATCAAACCTAAACCGTATCTGACGAATTGACAGTCCCTTTAAAAGACACAAGACAGAAAACCCAACATGAGATTCTTCAAGTTAATGATTAACCTCAATCTTTGAACAGATTATTTATAATCACAACATTCAAGTTCACACACGTGTCACACTTGATGAATGACTTACCTGTCTTTCGCAGTATGCCTTCATTAGTTTGCTGAGAGGCGTGTGCCTTTTGATTTTGAACTGTACTACTGACCCATCCTGGCCAGCTACCTTGAGGTTAATGTGGTCGTTCTCCGTCTTGACTCCTTCCTGCAACAAACAACAAACACAACCATCAGAAGGAGCACCATGCTTCTGTTACCTGTATACACCAAACTGCACACAAAGATAAGAGGAAAAACAACGGGATGGGAATGTAATGTAATGCATTAAGGAAGCTATAACCTCTTCCTGTTAACCATCTGACGTCACTACAGGCTAACACCGGCTCCCTCAGTTCATGTTGATCTGACCACACATTGATATAAACACCAGATGGTCCTGAAACATTTAAAACCACACACCTCCACCTTCTGTAAGCCTGTTCACATGGTTGGTTCCCGACTATTACATTATGCTAACGTTAGCTACCTCTTGTTGTTCTTTCCTTGGTTAGCATAGCATGCTAGCCCATGTTCAAACTGGCGCAGAAAGCCACAATAGCGCAAATGAAAAAGAAAAAATACAAATCATTCATTTCCCCTGGCGCTGTCTCAGCCTCATACCTTTACTTTACGGCTTTACAGAGACTAGTAGTTGCGGATGCTTGTGTGATTTTGACAGGGGAAACACAAAGATGTGCGCCTGAAGCTAAAAGATCCGCAGATTTGCCAACCTTTGTTTTCTCGACCCGCTCAAACGCGCTGTGTGTAGCCTGACGCGGAGCTAGCTTAGCATAATGCTAACGTTAACTCACACCGTGCATCATCAGCTGCTCACAAACATGAACTGAATGTTTCCACGGTGGTAAAGGAGTACTGACCTTTGGCTTCTCCTCGGACATGGTGCTGTTCTTCCCCGGGATGTTTTAATAAGGTAGAGTCAAAGTGTTAACGGTGAAGCGGGTTATCTTCTGCTCCTCCGGCTCTCTCGTTTGCACCAGGAGGCGCGCGCACTTCAATTTGAAATGTAATTGGACCAAAATGGTCACGTGCTCCACTTTTTCTCGGGACCGCGGATATGTGAACGCGCAAGCTAATTTGCGCGTACCCGAGAGGTAAAAAAAAATAGCACAATGCAAATCATCCTTTGGTCCAGGTCAGTATGAGGGACAAAAAATGACTAAAGTATAAATAATTAAATAAATGCATCAATAAATATATACACATATATATATATATATATATATACATATATATATATAAAATCAACAATTCATATAAAAAATAATATATAAATAAATATATTCATATATTTATTTATGGTTTCTGTGTCCATGTTGTACAAGGAAAAGTAAATTTGTAAATTAAGTGGGCCGTCCTAACATTACTGAAGTAGGATTGGTCAATTTTGAAAAACAGACAGAAGCAAATTTACATGTATACTTTTCCTCTTACGACCTGGACACAGAAATAAATAGATGTGTAAATGTAAAATACGGAAAAAAATTAATAACTCAATTAATGTGGAAATGTATGCATTGATACATATATAACTGTAGAAATATGCTAATAAATGAATAAATACATGTAAAAATATATAAATAGCCTTTTCATTAACAAAGTGTATTTATTTATTCATTGATGTATTATTTTCAGCATTTATATATTTATTGATGCATTTATTTAATTAATTAATTTATTCATACATTATTGTATGCATTTCTCCCAACATTTATTTATTTATTTATACTTTAGTCATTTTTTGTCCCTCATAGTGTCAGAGGCCAAATGAAAGCATGTAAAAGCGCAGCCTTTAAAAGGGTGACAAGAAATCTAGCTTGACTTTACTTCTGGCAGAGTTTGAAAAATGTAGGCCTACCAGAAATGTGTTGCTACTATTAGTTTTCTAGCAAATCACCAACTTTACAAAGATAATGGTGGCAGTATGCTTAATATACTTATGGAAAAATTACTGTCAAATAGGATGTGTGATTAAGCAAGTTCCTTGTACGCCTCAGTGAAACTGTGAGGCTGAAGCACATTGATGAACTTGATTTCCACATGGGATCTACTGTATATGGTTCCAACCATACTTTTCTCAGTTCTGGGTGTTTTTCCTTTTCATGTTGAAAAAAGTCACAATGTGTTAGATTGGATCCCTCACTTTATCTGTATTAAAGTTTGAATGGGAATCGATTTCACACAATAAAAACTATTGAAGTTTTTTTTTTTTTTTAATAATCACAAAGTTTTTTTTAACAGCAGCTGCACATTTAGTTTGAGATTTTTTTTATCTTACTCACGAAACTTCTCGGATTCAGATATTTATCAGCAGGAAAATAATAAAATAAACTTTAGAAAGCGTCTTGTGATGAACAACCTTTTATAAAAAAATTAGAAGTTATGCTTAAGACATGAATGACAAACAGTCACAAACTATGCTTTACAAAATAAAATGAACAATGAAATATTCAATTTGAATGAAGCACCACAAAAACTTTTCTACCATTGAGTTTTGAGAATTATACAATTCTGCATTTTGTGCAAACAATAGCCCTTATATGTAGTTCAATGTATGGATGAAAGCAAATTAAACAACACATTTCCCTTAAAATAATTCAAAATAACACTAAGGGATGAGAATGATTAAACGAGCATAAAAGCTGAGCTTTGGCGTGTAAAAACTGAAACATTAGGTAAAAGGGCCACTTTGAGTGTATTGCACTCAGTCACAATTATTTTTGACTATATTGGTCACATTTTTTTGGCAAATACTGGCTCTCTGAAATCAGATAATCACAGTTTATCATATGCTACACATGAATCTCACTATTACTGGCATATGTCAGATCATCTAAAGGATTTTTCCCTCCAGGAATCGTCGCTCACATTCTTCTTAATGTTCATTCATACGGGCGTATGGGTTATCCTTTGCCAAACCTGAAAAGAACAAAGGAGAGAGTGTTTGACATTGAAATGATTTCCAAAATCCTTGTGTTGCAAAAATCTTTTTTTAACACATTTTATAAATAAGTTAATTTGTGCAGGCTTTATACTCTTTCGTTTTTATCCAGTAGATGGCAGCACATAGTCAATATTTTGTTGTAAACATGTCTTAAGCTTTACTTTAGTTTATCCAGTTTGTCTTTCACCAGCCATGTTTTATTCACTGTTTCCCTCACTGTTCATGTATAAAAAAATATATCTTTATTTTTTCAAATGTAACATTTTTGACTCATTATAAACACACACGAGCAATGTGTCTCACCATATTTGTTTCTGATTTCATCATGCCTCACTTGCATTTCTGTTCTCCTGTTGAGGAAGAGACAAAGACAACTTGTTAGAAAAGAGGAACACTCACTTTAAGAGTGTCTGAATCACTAGTACACAAGAACTGTCATTTTCTGATGATACGTATATGCCAAAAAAACCTACTCACATTTAAATGAACAGTTCAAATAAATAATAGAAAAGGGATTTGGTGGTTATAGAATACAAATGACTTAAATCGATTATCCAGACCTATGCATTAATTAATGAAATATCATGACAATATTCAACACACCATCCATATATTGCATGATGACAGATTTTAAAATCTGCCTGAAACTTTAAACAATATATTTTAGTCTTCAAACTTCTGAGAAGGTATAAAAGCTTTATCTTCAAATTGTGGTTTGTTTTAAGCATATTCAGAAGTGCTAAATATGGAAGAGGAGCCCCCTAGTGTCTGTTCATGGTCATCATTTTGCTAACATACAAACCCAGAGGTTTCTGTATCTGAATACTGGACTGACCTCTCTTTCTGGCGGGCCTTCCTCGCACGGGTTTGTCGCTCCACCTTTGCATCTTCTTTGTTGTTCCTTGAGAATGAGAATGTGTTCATATACAGATATTCATCATCACAATGTTTTGTTATTAAAAGCATACATTGCAACATAAGTAAAACAATGATCAGATTTAGGATTATATTGTAATGGTTCATTATTCCAATAATGTCATCTAATACATCACTTTACTCTTCAACCAACACCCATTATCAAATCGACTTGTTTTTAGAAGAGGATGGAGCATGTCCTAATAGAAAGAGTAAAGCTGTTTCGAGAGTTAACCACAGTAACTAATTCTGGCAGACTTTGGAGACAGCGGTATCAGCCGAGCCCGAGCCTCGGTATCAACAACCCATTGTGCTCTCCAGTCCTCCTCCTTCCTCCATGGTGAACCAGATTTCACACTCACAGCTTCATGTGACTCGATGCTTACCCTCTTCTCTCAGACTTGCAGCAGCAGCAGAGGATGCAAACGAGAATGCCGATGACAACGATGCCAGCCAGCACTGACATGGTGATGATCAAAATCATGAAGTTTACTGGAAATTAAAGGCAGACACACACACACACAAAGAGAAAAGAAGAAAACAATGTGTATGCAGCAAAAGTGATACAGATCAAATTGACTACTTTGTATTACTGGTTTGAATGAGAAATGTATCAAAACAACATGAGCAAGAACCGATAAACAGAGAGCAACGGATGCTTGAAATTTAGAAAACCTGGAATGTATAAAAAATGTATTTTTTTCAACAAACATCCAAAATATTTATTTCCAGGGTTTACTCAGACCTGACAATGGTAATAGGTGGTCTAAGGTTAAGACAGTCTTACCCCAACATACCCCCCACCGTGCAACATTTAGTGGACACACACTGCGGGGGGGCAGGATGTTTCTCACCGGGTAGTCGATGCATTGTTTGGTTGGAGAGCACCACAAACACTGCAAAACAAGAAAACACAAAACACTGTGCCTATGGTCTGAACTCTGGTATTTATGCTGATGCACCACAAACAAGGCAGTTTTGTTTTACTTACCGCCACATTCTTCAAGCATTCATCACAACTTGTGTTGGAGCTCAGGGCACAGGGGACTGAAAGAGATATGCAACAGTGATTTACACACTTTGCCACACGACAACTAAAGTAAACTTTGCAAGCTGCAGACTACAATAATCATAATCAGGACTAACCCAATACCACGAATTAAGATGATTATCTTTGATGTTAGGATAAGTAAAGCCATTGTAGCTGCTCGTCATGTGACAGCCTCCTGACCCGACGCTGGACTGAACAAAGCACAAAAGCAAAGTAAAAACCCAGAAAACACTTACTCGGAGCTGGAGAAGGAGTTGCTGTCTGCGCCTCTGTAGTAAAAAATAAACTGTAGAAAATGAAAGCAGATACCAACGAGAAGCCTCTGTGAACGCCCGACATCGTAAATCAACAGGAAACCTTCAGCCTTCACACGAAAACAACGAAGAAAGTAACGTTTCTGAAGAGGGGAGGAGAAGTGACGGGCAGAGGGGAGGAGATCCAGTTAACGAGGACTGACGTCATCCACTCCTGACGCTGGTGTCAGTGAACAGCTGCAGAGTGAAACATCTGTAGAGTGAAACATCTGTCTTCAGGAATCACTCACATGTTAGTTACTAACCCCATATCAATCAAAACAAAATAAAGTTCATATATTAAAAAGGAGAACTGGTTAAATTAAATAACCATCAATTTTAACATCAGTTTTGAGTCCAAAATAAAGTTATTTTTTTGAACAACTTTTACACAACAGTTATCATAACATAGGCTTACTGTAACCACGTTGGTTTAAGTCCCCACACTTTCCAGGGTGAAACTACAGTTTATGATGTTGGTACAAAATATAATTTATTCTCTTAAATTCAACTATAATTTAATTGATCATATAAAACACTTAAAGAATAATGCATAGAATAGATTTCTCTATGGTTGTGCTGCTGTATCACTCTCACCTTACAGAGCCTGTTTACCCACACAGGTGTTTTCAGTCACTGTCTGTTTAGACCTCTGGTTCACATCATTCAGAATGTAATTACAGGCAGCAGAACGAAAACAAATGTTCACATCAGTGTTGAAGTTGTACTTCCCTGAAGTCTGACAGCAACAATGATTCTGTATTGTCATAAAGAACTGACAGACAGCTGGAAAATGGCTTTATGGCAGCTCCAGTCAATGTGGACACTAATCAAATAAATTCAAATAGAATGAGGTGTGCCAAGCGACTTATCCAAATTCTGGCATTGTGGTTTCAGCTGACATTTGCATAAGTCAAGTTATTACCATGTATTTCTGTAGTGATGGATCTAAGTTTGGCACCTGATGCATAGATTGAGATTCACTCTAAACCAAGTACAAATCAGATCAAATCAACCAACACAAACAGCTTTTGAAATACAATAATTTATTAAAACATCTTTGAATTTTGATATAAAACAAATTCTGATTTTTCTTTGTCAAAACAATCAGAAATCTCAGAAATACAGTCATCGTCACAGCAACATCAAAGCCTCTGGTTTGGCCGCCGGCAGCTAACCAGATTGCCTCAGTGAGTACGATTGAAGAGCAATGGAAGACAGTGACGCGATGCGAGGTAAACACTAAGCTCATTATGTCTGGATCATACTGTTGTCATGAACTGTACTGTCAGTTGACTGGTGTCGGCTTCAGTCCGTTCTGTTTATTTACACTGGACCACAGCGACGTTTTAAAGGGAGTTGGCGAGGTTTGCTGTCGGGCTCAACACACTTTGATGTTGACAAAAGCAAATCACAAAATGGAGAAACAGCACAGTATACTTTTAAACAATACATTTCTGAAATACATTTCTGTGCCCCTGAATGCACAAATAAAGAAATAAAATGAACTGGGAAAACTAAACCAGTACATTTCCAGCAGGCCGTTCATTTGCTCAGTCTGCTTGATGCCATTTATACTTCAATAAATAAATACCCCACCCTCACATGGCCTTTGACATCACTGAAATACACACAGTAAAACAATCGTCAGACACAGACGTAATGAACAAACCCTATAGTCACTCATTTCTAATATCACATCCTGAATCCTTTGTTTCAAAGACATACCGCCGAGTCAGCACACAATCAAAAAGCTTTACACAAAGGACTTATTCTAACATAGTTGACATTGCATTTTCCCCAGATGCAGTGGTTATTAACATCAGCTTTTTTTGTTAGATGCATTTATTTGACTTCTAAGAGGCAAGTTTTTCTGTTTTCAACGTAGTGATGTGATTTAATGGTACCAGAGGAAGCAGTAAGTACCGAGATACCAAACAAGTATATTCCATTCATGAAAGGCAGCATCTGCACTGAATGTACAGAAGAGCTCAAATAAACACTTCAATAAGGCAAGATTTGGAAGATTATCTCCCTCGGACAATTCCTATTACACAGAAACCTGAGGGGATCTCCAACCAGGAGGACATTTAGAACAATGGGGGACGACATGTGTAAGAACTACAAACTGAAAAAGAACATGTTTATCATGGCAACCTAAAAAACCTACCCCTATTGTTTGGATGTATGGTGACAAAAAAGTTTCTCACTTTTGGGAGTTAAAAAAGTCCTAACTCAGATGTGGATGTCTGTTTGAATTGTGATGCGTTATATCTTTTCTTTTAATATAAAAAAGGCATATCAGATACCTGAAGCACATTTCAAGCCAGATGACAGAGAAGACCAGTGTAACTAATGTGACCATGTTTGGAGGGAGGCCACACTTTGAGAGATAATAAGGGTTTCAGATGCATGACTGTTCCTCCTTTTGTTTCAAGAAGTCTAACTCATCCTCCATGCTTGCTTCTTTGCTGTCAGGTGGACTGTAACCGAGTACATTAAGTGTCCTGTAGCATCGATCACCTGATCCAGCTGGCTCCATAACTGGACACCGACTTCACGCTGCAGCGTTTCTTCACGATCATGTTTATGTAGGCTTTCATGATCTTTGTGATCTCTCCAACCTGCCAATAAGCACACGAGACAAACAGTCAGACATGCAGGATTTTACCATGAAGAACTTCAAGGAAAAGAAACAACCTGTATCTAAA